TGGTGAAGGATTTAAAACTGAGGGATTACAGATTTAAAACTTGGACAGTCCTGGAAAGGGGGAGATATGAAAAACAACAAGAACAAACAAACAAAAACTTTGCTTTCAGGGCTTTTGGGATTCTGGAATTATAGATTAGAGACTGTAGAGTTGTACTTGCAACCTGCTTTAATAAAGAACTGCACTGCAGTCTATCAAAAACAGGAGGTGGAGAGGGGGGCTGTACCCTGGTGCTGTTAGGAGAATTTGGAATCACCTTAATTAGATTATAAGCAAAAGCTAGATTCTGGAAGGTACTTTAATATTCTATTTATTTTAAATTTTGTTCCTAATTATGTCATCCTTTGAAGCCCTGGTGGCACAGTCATTAAGAGCATGGCTGCTAACCAAAAGGGCAGCAGTTCAAATCTACCAGCTGCTTCATGGAAACCCTATGGAGCAGTTCTATGTCCTATAGGGTCGCTATGAGTTGGAATCGACTCAACAGCATTAGGGTTTTTATTTTTATTTTTATTAATCTGTAACAGGTATAAGGTATTTAATCTATGTTGTTATAACACGTAGAGGAAACTGTACACATCGAAAGTGTTCAGATCAATGAACTATCATAAGGTGAACGCACCCATGTAACCACCACCCAAAGAAATAGATTTAATGGAAAGTAAACACCCAGCTATGGAAGAATTTTATTCCTTTTCTCTGAGACTTCAATTCTTTATATATAGATTCTATATATGCCTGAACTACCAGAACTACACTGATGTCTGTTAGCAGCTACTGGAATTCCAGGTATATCATCTAAAGAAAATAATCCAACCTCTGGTGATCCAAATTGTTTCTCAGTGATAGAAAATGTTACAATTAACACTTTTGATAAAAACAAGGGTATACATATGACTATACACGTTTCCTTTCATTCTGTTGGAAGCTACTCCTGTGGATTGACTTTGCTTGGTCAGCTGCTCATTGCTTCCAATTTTCATGAAAGTGTTAGATAAATCTAGGGTGGAAGGCCCTGTATTTCCAGTGATGTAATCTGCTAGGATAATGGAGGAAACAAGTGCATTATAAATGTTGCAGAAATGATGGTGACAGCTTGGGGTGGAGCCAACACGGTACCACAGACAGAAGCACCACACCGTCCCTCCACAGCAAAGACCTGAAAAACTGAGTAAAACAGAGATAAACTCAATCCTGGAACCCTAAGCATCAAATGAAGAGATAGAGAACTCAACCAAGCACTGACTGGAATAAGAAACTGACAGAGAACAGAGAGCAAGGAGCTTGAGAACAGGAACAAGACAAGGATGCCCTTTATCACCACTCATATTTAACATTGTGCTGGAAGTCCTAGCTAGAGCAATAAGGCAAGAAAAAGAAATAAAGGGCATCCAAATTGGTAATGAAGAAGTGAAACTGTCCCTATTTGCAGATGATAGGATACTATACACAGAAAATCCAAAAGACTCCACGAGAAAACTACCGGAACTAATAGAAAGATTCAGCAGAGTAGCAGGATACAAGATAAGCCTACAACAATCTGTTGGATACCTATACATCAATAAGGAGAACGATGAAAAGAAAATCAGGAAAACAATACCATTTACAATAGCCCCTAAAAAGATAAAATACTTAGGAATAAATCTAACCAGGTATGTAAAAGACCTATACAAAGAAAACTACAAAACACTACTACAAGAAACCAAAAGAGATCTACATAAATGGAAAAACATACCATGCTCATGGATTGGTAGACTCTACACTGTGAAAATGACAATTCTACCCAAAGCAATCTACAAATACAAAACAAATACAATGCAATCCTGATCCAAACACCAGCAACATTTATTAAAGAGTTGGAAAAAACAAACATTAACTTTATATGGAAAGGGAAAAGGCCCCGGATAAGTAAAGTACTATTGAAAAAGAAGAAAAAAGTGGGAGGACTCACACTACCTGAACTCAGAACCTACTATACAGCTTCAGTAGTCAAAACAGCCTGGTACTGGTACAATGACAGATACACTGACCAGAGGAACAGAATCGAGAACCCAGATGTAAATCCATCCACCTACAGTCACCTGATCTTCGACAAGGGCCCAAAGTCTATCAAATGGTGAAAAGACAGTCTTTTTAACAAATGGTGCTGGCAAAACTGGGTGTCCATCTGCAAAAAAAGGAAACAGGACGCATACCTCACACCATACACAAAAACTAATTCAAAATGGATCAAAGACCTAAATATTAAACCAAAACCTATAAAGATAATAGAAGAAAAAATATAATCAATGCTTGAGACCCTGATACATGGCATTAACAGGATACAAACCATAACTAATAACATACAAACTCCAGAAGATAAGCTAGATAACTGGGATAGTCTAAAAATTAAACACTTATACTCATCAAAAGACTTCACCAAAAGAGTAAAAAGAGAACCTACAGACTAGGAAAAAATTTTGGCTATTACAAATCCAACAAAAGTTTAATCTCTAAAATCTACAAGAAAATCAAACACCTCTACAACAAAAAGACAAACAATCCAATTAAAACATGGGCAAAGGAAATGAACAGACACTTCACCACCAAAGAACACATTCAAGCAGCTAACAGACACATGAGGAAATGCTCGAGATCACTAGCTATTAGAAAAATGCAAATCAAAACCACAATGAGATACCATCTCACCCTGGCATTACTGGCATGAATCAAAAAAACAGAAAATAACAAATCTTGGAGAGGCTTGAAGGAGACTGGAACTCTTATGCACTGCTGGTGGGAATGCAAAATGGTATAACCATTTTGGAAAAACAATATGGTGCTTCCTTAGAAAGCTAGAAATAGAAATACCATATGACCCAGCAATCCCCCTCCTAGGAATATATCCTAGAGAAATAAGAGCCGTCACATGACTAGACACATGCACACTCATGTTCATGGCGGCATTTTTCACAATAGCAAAAAGATGAAAACAACCTATATGCCCATCAACAGATGAATGGATAAACAAACTATGGTACATACACACAATGGAGTACTATGCAACGATAAAGAACAATGATGAATCTGGGAAGCATCTCACAACATGGATGAATCTGGAGGGCATTATGCTGAATGAAATAAGTCAATCACAAAAGGACAAATATTGTATGAGACCTCTCTATAAAAACTCATGAAAAGGTTTACACACAAAAAGAAACAATCTTTGATGGTTATGAGGGATGGGAAGGGTGGGGACAGAAAAATGCTAAACAGACGATAAGTGGTAACTCTGGTGAAGGGTAAGACAGTACACAATACTGGGGAAGCCAGCACAACTTGTTCAGGGTAAGGTCATGGAAGCTCCATGGACAAATCCAAACTCCCTGAGGGAACGAATGACTGTGCTGAGGGCTGTGGGTACCATGGTCTCAGGGAACATCTAGCTCAACTGGCATAGCATAGTTTATAAAGAAAATGTTCTGTATTCTACTTTCGTGAGTAGCATCTCATGTCTTAAAAGTCTGTGAAAGGCCACTGAGGATAATCCCCTGGACTTACCCCTTCAAGAGCAAGGGAAAATGAAGAAAACTAAAGACACAAAGGAAACGTTAGTCCAAAGGACTAATAGACCACAACCACCATGGCTTCCACCAGACTGAGTCCAGTACAACTAGATGGTGCCTGGCCACTACCACTGACTGCTCTGACAGGGATCACAATAGAGGGTCCAGGACAAAGCTGGAGAAAAATGCAGAACAAAATTCTAACTCAAAAAAAAAAAAAAAGCCTAGACTTACTAGCCTGACAAGAGACTGGAGAAATGCTGAGACTATGGCCCCTGGACACCCTTTTAGTTCAGTAATGAAGTCACTCCTGAGGTTCACCTTTTAGCCAGAACAAGACTGAAAGGGCCCATCAGCCCAGGGGCAAGGACTAGAAGGCAGGATGGGACAGGAAGGCTGGTAATAGGGAACCCAAGGTCGGTAACGGAGAGTATTGACATGTCATGAGGTTGTTAACCAATATCATAAAAGAATATCTGTACTGTTTAATGGGAAGCTAATTTGTTCTGTAAACCTTCATCTAAAGAACAATTTAAAAAAAAAAGAAATGGTGACAGCTATATTGTAGAATTTTTTTCTTTTTTTTTTTTAAGAAGATTCCTTTTTAAACAGTAAGGAATCTGTGGGGCTGTCTGACCCGTGCATGTTGCAAGCTAAAGGGAGGCCTGGAGGTCCGTGTGTGGGCACAAACCAATTACGTTAACCACTCACTGAAACTGCTTTCTCAGCCAGGATGGAGAATGACTGATCACAAGTCAAAACGTACACGTTACACCGAAAGCGTTTACATGTTGTGTGGCCCAAGGTCACTGCCACTTCCTTCAGCTGGCTGAACACTGCAAGTAGTTAGGGAGGAAAGCGTATCAGACTAACGCCGTTTAATTCTTCGCACGAGATCCTCGTCTGCATCTTGTGTTGGTTTAGATTTATGAAATTGGGTTCGTATGCATGGCTGATGATGAAGTCTGCCTAAACCCGGGTTGGACTTCAGACACTGCCTGGAAGTTAAAAACAGACTGCTCAGGACGAATTACCCAGCCTCTGGAGGCGGAGCACAGGCGTCGGGTATGTTAAAGTTCTCCAGGTGATTCTACTCTGCAGCAGAGGCCAAAAACCTTGGGCAAACAGTGTAGATAGGCAGCGAGGCCTCTGCAGCCCCTTCTTTTGGAGAACGGCCTCCAGGATCTAAACCTCCCTTGCAAGGGCAGTCCCGCTGCGCTGGCAGCCTGTGGTTATCCAGCTCGTAGTCTGGGTTCCAGCTGCTCAGATGGGACCGCAGGGGGTTAATAATAGCCTCTCTAACGCACATTTTTCTCAGCAAACACCCCACTAAAGCCCATCCCTCGGGGGACCACACCAGCGCCCATCCTACGCCCCAAGCCGGGAGACTGACAGCGCATGCGCGGCCGTGGCCGCGTCCCTTCCGGCTGAGGGGGCGTGGCGTGGGCGCAGTGGCCCGGGGACGCCGTCTCACGTCTCACCAGTTCCGCGAACCCGTCCGGCATGGCCCGGCACGTGTTCCTTACGGGGCCGCCAGGTAACCCCGCTCGGCGTCCGGGTTGGCGCGGCGACTGGCTCTCCTCAACCGAGTCTCTTCCTTGGGGAGGCCGAGGGGTGGGGACCGCGCGGCCGGGCGGGGAGCGGCTGGCTGGGGACCAGTAGCGGACCCGGGGCTTTAGCGGTTTGGCCTTTGAAGTTCCGGATTTAAAGCGACAAATTTAGCAGTCTGAAGCTTACCTACCCCTTCTCAGGAGAAATGTTTTTAAATACATAAAGTGTGTAGGATTAGAAATAAAGCCAATTATGGTAAAATGCCAAGAAAAGACCAGGCTTGTGATGTGGTAATGTATGTTTGTTGATTAATGCATTAAATGGCAAGATCTAGCGATGGGAGAGCGCCACTGCGGCGTGTTGGCCCACATTCCTAATAGACGGGTTGCTGAGGACCGTGAAGATGTAACCTCTTCTCCCCATTCGAGTTCACTGGCCCTGAATTTCCGCCGTGGGCGGCCCGCAGGTTGAGAAGCCTTGTAACTTTCAGGACCTCTCAGACGTCCATGTCTGTCGCCTCCTAACGACTGAGTCACGGGCAAATCCCCCAACTCTTGTGGACTGGAGTTCTCATCTGCGAAATGGGATAGTGTGAGGCCAAATGCTAGAATATAGCAGGAAACTCTGCTTCTTAAGCCAGGGTGCTGCACACGTGTCAGGTGGTACTAAAGGCAAAGGGAAGACGAAGGTGGTGTCAGCATCCCGAAGGCTAAAGAAGAAAGATGGGCATAGCTGGGAAAGGTCCTTTACAAATGGGTTTTCATTTTGGAAGCCAGCTGTGGGTTCAGATATCAAAGATTCTAATCCTCGGCGTAGAATTCTCTTTCCTTTCCCGTTTTATTGATTATCCTTGAAACCGTTTCCTTACCATTGGATTAACGGTATACCAGCCAGTATTTATGCCTCTGGATCTCTGAGGTAATACGTTATTCTGGTTCTAATGCGTTTAGCATCAAGGTGGGTCCCTTTGGAAATGCGTGAAGCTCAGCAGACCAGAGTTGGAGCCTCTCGTTGTGTAGGTTGAGCATTCGATTAGGTGATAGCTTACTGGATGTGTTAGTTTTGTAAACTTTTGCTTTTTTTTTTTTTTCCTTTATTTCTTTGAGATAAGGCTGGCAAGCATAATTATGGCTTTCCTGTGTGATAAAGCCCTGATAGGTTTGTTTTGGTTTTTCTGTGTCATATTTGGAAAACCAGAGGTTCCCCATGTAACCTAATGAAAAAACAAGCAAACTAACAAAAAAACCTGTTGCTGTCAAGTGGATTCCGACTCCTAGCGACCATATAGGACAGAGTAGAACTGCCCCATAGAGTTTTCAAGAAGTGGCTGGTGGATTCGAACTGCTAACCTTTTGGTTAGCAGCTGAGCTCTTTACCACTGTGCCACCAGGACTCCAACCTAATGGAAAGGCACTCGCAATAAATTATCTACCTAGCTCTCATTATTGTCATACCACAGATCGGTGGCGCCACAGTGCTACTTGCCTCATTGGAGGCTTATATTACCAGATCATGTGTCTCAAATCCATATTACCAACCAAAAATTTAAACGCACTCCATTGGTAACCATGCATTCCAATACTGAAAACACATGCCACCAAAAAAAAGAAAAGGAGAAAAAAATGTAGTAACGAAAGGATTTCAAGTAGCTTAATATTGCAGACTTGGAAACTTTTGTGCCAAGCTTTAGGGGTAGAGAGGTGGTTTGAGAAATTTCTAATATCCAAAGATATACCCTAATACTGCAAACAACTCTTCTGAAAGTTGATTTGTAAATCCTTTATTTGAAGCTTGGAATGCGTTTTTCTCAGCAGGCTGGCCCCAAGACATCTGTATTGTTCATAACAGAGGTGACCCGCTATCATGATGTACCTGCCTTAGGCCTGGAGGTGGGGTGAGGGGCAGAGGCTGGCCTGGCTGGCACTGGTTATTCCTTCTGTTTCCTTCTGTATAAAATTTTTATATGCATACAGTTGAAAAGACTCAAGTAATTCTATAGTATAGCTCTCTTAAACCTGTCTTCACACCCATCCACCTCTCCTTCCTGCTCATCTTCCTAATGCAGTTATAATGTCATTTTGATTAGCTCAGTAGTCAGTGCGTATAGTATTATGATTATGTGAACGCTAATCACAGCAGAGCTATGTAAACCCAAAACCAAACCCACTGCTGTTGAGTTGATTCCGACTCATAGTGACCCCATAAGACAGAGTAGAACTGCCCCATAGGGATTCCAAGGCTGTAAATCTTTACGGGAGCAGTCTGCCACATCTTACTCCTATCCAGTGGCTGGTACATTTGAACCACCAACCTTTTGGTTGGCAGCCGAGCACTTTAACAACTATGCCACCAGGGCTTTTCAGAGCTATGTAGTAATCTATAATTTTTCCTTTCTGATACAAGTCTTTCCGTCCTTGGAGTCTGGTTATTTCATTTGCTTAGTTTTCTTCTATCACCGCTTCTGCCCTCTGCCTAAATCTTCTCAACATGTTCAGACCATCAGATAATCCTCTTCTCCAAGAGGTCACGTTGTGTTGCCTGTGCTGCCAGTCCCCGCCCATACATACCTCCTTAGCACTTAGTATTTCTCCTGACTCCCAAATGTGACCTGTCTTGCAGAACTTTCTCTGTCGCTGGAGTTCACTATGACTGTACACAGAGTAGGGCCAGGAATTCATGTCCCCCAGGAGCAGCCTTCAACAGTGATTGGTGGAAGTTAGTGGATGAATACCCCACTTTTCACACCTCAGACAGGAAAACTCAGGCATGTGTCTAAAACTGTCCCTGGTTTTTCCGAGTAGAATTAAGCTCCAGCTACCCACAGTGGTAACTTGCTTGATCCTGTACCTTGTGATGGCATCCATCCTTTCATTCCCTAAGTGTTTCTCAAGGTCACTTCCCAAGTTGAACAACTTGCATTTTATCTTAGGTTCTGCTTGTGGGAGAACCAGAATGAAGGTAACTCTGGAGCTTTCTGACCTGCTCTTGTTGCCCTCTGTGCTTGGTGTTGCTGCTATCTTGGGATCTCCTTCAGCACAGGTCACTTCGAAGCCAGTGGAGACAGCATTGGGCTGGCAGCTTAATTAACGAAGATGAAAAACAGAATGGAAAGACTCCTAGAGTTGGAGAAGAAGGAAGGGACTTTACCCAAATGCTTCCTCTTTCTTTCCTGTGTTCTACCTAACATAAAGGTCCCTTTAGTATCTCCTTTTTAACAGGAATGATACGGTTGCTCCATTTTATCTTTTTCAAAATGTAAATAGCATCATTTTTTTTCTTATAATAATACATACTACTAAAAAAATCAAGAAAGTTTTAAAAAAGAAATTGACAATTTCATGGCATTTCCCATACAGAAATAAGCACTATAAACTTTTGTTCTGTTTTCGTCTTAACATTTTCCTGTGTAAACACATTGTCTTTTTTAAAAACCGTAATAGAACAATACTATATATGTCTGCTATTTCTTCACCTGCTTTTTTTCCATATATTATTTTAATATATTATGATTCATTTTCCATGCTAATAAATACAGGTAAACAGTATTCTTTTTAGTGGGTGCATGGTATTCCTGAGTATTTATGTACCATTACATACATGGTACCATAATTTAACCATCCCCTTGCTGAACAACATCTAGATCGTTTTCACTGTTCTGCTGTTACAAAGAAGGCTGCAGTGAACATCCTATTTCCAACTTCTTTGTACTTTTGTCAGATTATCTACTGAGGATAAGTTCCTAGCCATAGAATTTCTGGGTGCTGTGATATGCATACTATAATGTATGATAAAATTGCCCCCCTCAGAAAAGTAGTACCATTTTTAAACACTGACCAATGCCACCTGCTTAATTTAAAAAGATTCTTCAGTAATTTTCCTAAAGTGACAGTTACCGAGGGACACAGTTGGATTAGAACCTTGTTATTTTATATTGTACACAGTTTTCTTACCAACCACAGTGACCATGTGGCAGAGATCCTTTTGGGATGCTGTTTGTGTTCTAGAAGGCCAGATGCCATTGTTCGTTAGTGTGAAGTTTGGAGGAGGGATGCACTAAATAAGAATAATGGATCATAATTTATGTGAAGGAGGCTTAAAAGATTTCTTGGGGAACCCTGACTGACTTTGTGTTGGTAGCCATATAAATAATATGACTTACAACACTGTAATATCTCAGAATATCTCCATTGCACACCTAGTAGAAGTCCCTATTTTTCCATTTTTGGGTAGTCATAACTCCATCGACTTCAAATTATATGGGAACAAGGCTCATATAGATGTAGTCAGAGTGAAACATAAAGGCCCCTGTTAGAGCATTAGGTCCTTACTAAGTGTGTAACCTTGGGTAAGTTACCTAACCTGTCTGTGTCTCAGTTTCCTCATCTGTAAAATAGGGATAACCACAGTAACTGCCTCTGAAGGTTATTATGAGGGTTTCACCCAGAAAATACTTGTAAAGCATGCTGGAACAGCACCTAGATCCACAAATGCTGGTGGTTAGTATTACTAGATTAGGAAGCAACTGTTCATGCCGATAAGCCCATAGGAGTTAATCAGATTAGTCAATAGCCAGTCTGGGAGGAGTGGAAGGGGGCAGAGGTAGGGAGGGCAAGAGGGTAGGGGTGCATGGGTTACATTTTGGGAAGATGGTAGGGGCAAGCTGAAGGAATGCCTAGAAGAGCATGTTTGAAGAGGTTACTAACCTGATAGGATTCCTACTAAGGAAAAGTTTAAAAATGACTGTTTCTAGTTATGTTAATGGTCTTTAAGAGATACATTCTCAGAAGGCCTAGCAATGCAAGTCCATGGAGGAGTGAAGTGGTCTTTCCACTCTTAAACACAGGTCCGTAGCATCTTGGAGGTTGAAATCCTAGTTTACGGTGCCCAGCCTTTGGCCCAAATGATCAGTTTTATTTTCTAGACTGAAAGCAGCAGCCCAAGGAAGAAGGTAAATCTAGGATAAAACAGAGGCTTGTCTCATAGGATGCAGATTGTGCTTGAGAATTCACCATCAGAAAACCACAAACTGACTCGGTTCTAGGATCGTGTATGTGACAAAACTAATAATGTTTCAGAATTTAAAAATAAACTTCAAGATATCATTCATATTTTGATTATGCTTGTTTCTACTTGAAATTAAAAAGTTTTAACACCTGGAGCCATCAAAATTAAAGTGAAATTAATATTCGTAGAATTTATTTGCAACCTATTTCTCAACCCACAGTGATAGCTCTCGGAGTCATGTGTGTGCTCTAGCAAGAGTGTTTCCTAATGGGCATCGTTTTTTTAGGGGTTGGAAAAACAACATTGATCCGGAAAGCCAGTGAGGCCTTAAAGTCCTCCGGTGTGCCTGTCGATGGATTTTACACAGAAGAAGTCAGACAAGGAGGAAGAAGAATAGGATTCGATGTTGTCACTCTGTCCGGCACCCGGGGCCCTTTATCTAGAACTGGGTACTTATATTTAATTTCTACTGTGTTTTTTCCTCTAAGTTGTTCTTCTGTCCATGTTTGGGAACTTTTCTATTCTGATTCAACAAAAGTTAAATGATTTAGTAAGGCCTTTCTTAGGTCCTTGGATGTCACTCTGTTTTCCCTTCAGAAGATTGGGTAGAAGGTTGAGCCAGATAATCTTCTCTATCTTTTAGAATCTTTAGAATCCTTTCAAAATTTCTCAGAGAAAGAAAACAGAGATTGTAACCATCATATGAAAAAACAAAGTATGAAAATTATATTTCACTCGAAACTTATCCCATGAACCATGACGTCTTTCACTCTGTAATTCTTAACCCCATTCCTAGTGCCACTTTTTAAAAAGATGGTTGGTACCTGCCGTTGTAACTGCAGGTCCATTGTTGGTGTGCATACACTTACTGGTAGCTCTGCTCTCAGGAGAAAAACTGAATCAGACCAGCTTTGCACACCACTGCTCTTTGTGTAGGTGATTTTTAAGGATGATTTAGCACATGCACAAGGCCAGAGTCTCAGTGGATAGCTCAAAACCAGAAATCAAAGGAGACTTTCAACAAAGAATGCAATGTCTTTTCATTCAGGTCAGAGCCTCCACCTGGAAAACGTGAATACCGAGTTGGGCAGTACATGGTTGATCTGACCTCCTTTGAGCAGTTGGCCCTTCCTGTCTTGAGGAATGTGAGTATTCAGTTCTGCTTACTTAGCCCATCCGCTGTGAGTGCGTTATGGGAATTGCTAGCCATGGACCAGAGTGGCTTTTGTTGTTCAGGGAAGGCTAGTTTTGCTTTTTACAGTTTAAAAATCTTCAACTGATTGAGCTGTAATAAAAATAGGCAGCATAATTTGCTGTTACTCTGAGCTACAAGTAAATTCCTTGTCACATAAATTCAGCATGTATCAATGTTTCATATTGGGAAGGCGCTGATGTCCAGCTACCAAGGTCCTCAAAGATAGGTCTTTGGTCTGTCTTCCCACATTTATATTTAAATCTGTTTTCATGACACAACAAATATTTAGAAAGAGAAAACATCATTATGCAAGCATTAATGACCAGTAGTTACTGAATGCCTACTGTGTGCTGTACACTACTGTAGGCGCTTAACATAGTATATTGTTATATTATGTGTTTATTTTAACAGCATATTACTTGTTTATTTTGACATCTTTCTTGAGATATAACTCATATTCCATACAGTTTATCCATTTGAAGTGTACAATTAAGTTTTTTTTAGTATATTCACAGGATTATGCAACCATCAAGGAGCCCTGGTGGCTGCTAACCAAAAGGTCGAGGTTTGAACCCACCAGCTGCTCTGAGGGAGAAAGATGTGGCAGTCTGCTTCTGTAAAGATTACAGCCTTAGAAACCCTACGGGACAGTTCTACTCTGTCCTATAGGGTTACCATGAGTCGGAGTTGACTCAATGGCAACAGGTTTATGTAATCATCACCACAATCTAATTTTAGAACATTTTCATCATCCTTCCAAAAAACTGTGTGCTCATTAGCAGTCACTCCCCTTTCTCCTCTCAACCCCCCAGCCCCAGCAACCACTCATCTATTTTCCTCTTCTCTCTAGATTTGCCAGTTCTGGACATTTAATATAAATGGAATCATACAATATGTGGGCTTTTATAACTGGCTTCTTTCACTTAGCATAATGTTTTCAAGGTTCCTCCATGTTGTAGCGTGTATCAGTACTTCATTCCTTTTTACGACTGAATAATATCCCATTGTATGGATATACCACGTTTTGTTTATCCACTCATCAGTTGATGGGCATTTGGGTTGTTTCCACTTCTGGCTATTAGGAATAATGCTGCTATGAACATTCATGCACAAGTTTTTATGTGGACATCTGTTTATATTTCTCTTGAGTGTATACCCAGGAGTGGGATTGCTGGGTCATGTGGGAGTTTCTATGTTTAACTTTTTGAAGAACCACCAAACTGTTTTCCACAGCAGCTATACCATTTTGTATTCCTACCAGCAATGTTTGAGTGTTCCAAGTTCTTGTGAACACTTTTTATTGTCTTGCTTTTTGATTTTAGCCATCTTGGTGGGTATGAAATGGTATCTCATTATGGCTTTGATATACATTTCCCTGGTGACTAATGGTGTTGAACACCTCTTCATGTGCTTATTGCCATTTATATATCTTTTTTGGAGAAATGTCTATTCAAATCCTTTGCCCATTTTTAAATTGGGTTATTTGTCTTTTTATTACTGAGTTGTCAGAGTTATTTATAAGTTCTGGATACAAGTCTGTTATTAGTTTTATGATTTGGAAGTACTTTCTTCCATTCTCTGGGTTGTCTTTTCACTTTCTTCATAGTCTTGCATGAAGCACAATGCTTTTAATTTTGAAAAGATTGATTGATTTATTTTTCTTTTGTCACTAGTGGTTTTGGTGTTGTATCAAAGAAGGCTTTGTCTACTCAAAGTCATGAAGATTTGCTCCTGTGTTTTCTTCTAAGACTTTTGTAGTTTTATTGTTATGTTTAGGTTGTTGATCCATTTTTAAATTAATTTTTATATATGGTATGAAGTATGGATCCCACTTCATTCTTTTACATATAGATATCCAGCTGTCCCAGCACCATTTGTTGAAAAGACTATTCCTTTCCGCCATTGAATTGTCCTGGCACCATGTTGAAAATAAATAGACCATAAATGGAAGGATATATTTCTGGGCTTTGAATTCTATTCTGTCTATTTTCATATCAGTACTACACTGTCATGGTTACTGCAGCTGGGAGTCTGATATAGATGCATTGAATCTGTAGATAAATTTTGGGAGTATTGCCATCTTAACAATAGTCTCTTGACCCAGGAACAAGGGATGTATTTCTGTTTACTTGGATCCTCTTTAATTTCTTTCAACAATATTTTATAGTTCCCAGTGTACCTATATATTCCTTTTGATGCTATTGTAAATGGAATCATTTCCTTAATTTCATTTTTTGGAATGCTCAAAATGTATGATTCATTTTTGTATATTGATCTTGTATCCTGCAACCTTCTAAACTAATTTATTATTTCTAGTAGTTTTTTAATGGATTCCTTAAGATTTTTCTTCTACAGTATCATACTACTATCTACAAATAGAGAGAGTTTTATTTCTCCCTTTCCACTCTGGATACATTTTATTTCTTTTTCTTGCCTAATTGCCCTGGCTAGAACCTCCAGTGCAATGTTGAATAGAAGTGGTGAGAGCAGACAACCTTGTCTTGTTCCTGATCTTAGGGGGAAGGCATTCAGTTTTTCACCATTGAGTATGATGTTAGCTCTGTTTTGTGGATAGTCTTTTTTCAGTTTGGAAGCTCCCATCTATTTCTAGTTTGTTGAATGTTTTTTCAATGAAAGAGTATTGATTTTTATCAAATCCTTGTTATAGGTCTGTTGATTTTGTATTTATTCTTGAGTCAGTTTTGGTAATTTGTACCTTTTAGTAATTTGTCCATTTCATCTAAGTTATATAATTTATTGGCATATGGTTGTTCATAGTATTCCCTTGTAATACTTTTTATTTTGTAACGTCAGTAGTGATGTCCCTTCTTTCATTCCTGATTTTAATTATTTAAGTCTGCTCTCTTTTTCTCTTGGTCAGCCTAGCTAAATGTTTGTCAATTTAGTTGGTCTTTCAAAGAACCAACTTTTGGTTTTTGCATTCATTTATCAAATATTTATTAAATCTTGGATACACTGTCATAAACAAAACAGACATGTTTTCTACTCTGTCAAAGCTCTCAGTCCACTGGGAAATGGAGACATTAAACAGATGAATCTACAATTGTGATATGCTGTGAAGGGAAAGATCAGGATAGTATGGAGAGAAGGGTAAGAGGAGCTGACTTTAGATCAGGTGAGGAGGAAAAAGCTCTGAGGAAGTGACATTTAAACTGAAATGAAAAGCTGAGAAGACACCATCACTCCAGAGAAAGTATTGGGGAATGTGGGGGTGGAGGGGGCAGGGGAGGTCTGGGGAGAATATTCTAGATAGTGGGAACACACACACTGAAGCTCCAGGGGCCTGGGGGCAGGAGCAGATGAAGAAGGTAAGGTTCGTGGGATGGGCGGGTCCACATCATGCCTGGCCTGTGGAACATGAGAAAGAAGGTGGGTGTCACTTAATCTGCTATAGATTTACTACTTTTCACTTACTTTTGTGAAAATTAAATAGATCTCATTTCAAGGGCCAGTTAAAAACCTTTTAGAGGTTTCCATCATACTGGGAAGAAAACTCAAGTTCCTTTCCATGGCCTAGAAGGCCCAGTGTTATCTGGCCCTGACCAAGCAATGACCTCAGCTCACCATATTCCAGCCACACTGGCTCAAGACAATGTTCCCCAGACATGCCATAGTCAGTTCAGCCTTCTGCCCTTAGCCCTCGCTGTTTTCTTTGGTTGGCACACTCTCCTTGCCTCTCTGCTCCTTCATGATGTTTGGGTCCTGCTGCTCAAAGGTGCAGTGGGGGGCTTTGGTGAGTGCCCAAGGCTGCTGAAGATTCCAGCCTCTCATTTCAGAGGCCTGACCGTATCTTGTGGTCTGTTTTTCAGTAGGGCTGTTTTCCTCAGAGTTCACCTTCTTTGCTTACTTCCGCCTATCTGCTCCTCCCCACTCCCGCTGTCCTAATTCCTTCTTCTCGGAACCTTCCCTCATTCCCTGCACTGAGGACTGCGTGGCTGCTCTGCTGAGTGGGAGTGGTCAGAGAACATGGTATTCTTCTCTCTAGTACTTTTCCATCAAATATATACTTCTATACTTAAATGTTCAAAAGGCAAGTCAAATACTTCAAATGAAATTTCCAGTGAGGATGCCAGCTTTAGGCACTGGATGAATACAAAGAATTGGTTTTTACTTAGCTTGCTTAGAGCATACTGGATCCTGGGAGAACAGTATGCATGTTTGTGTTTAGTGTTTATTGGCAAGATTATATAACAAATCATATGCTGACCAGAATCAAGATCTTAAATCTTTTTTGAAATTAAAAAAGAGAAGTAGACTTTTCCCAATTTTTATGCTTTGATTATCAAACCCAGTATAAAATAGCAATAGTAACAGCATCAGTAGTAGCGACATTAGACCTGTCTAACTTCAGGGGGGATAATGTGACTCAAGGTTAGCCCAGTGCTGATCCCTGTGATCCCTGTGATCCAGCCTTTCCACCAATTCTGACACCAGCTGTCCCTCCTACAGTACTCTATTTCTCTTCTGGATTCGACAGTCCATTGCAATGGCCACTCAGTTCATAGACCATACTTACAGTTAAGTGGTTTATTAAGGAACAGGGTCCAACTCGAGATCAGGATCAATACGCTACAACTCAGGAATCAGGATCATGAAGCATGTAGGCAGAGTCTCCCTTCTTCAGTGCCGGACAGCTCTCTCAACTCCTCTGAGCCCCCTGATGACAGGCTTCTCTCAGCCCCCTCAGGACAAGCTCCTCTTGGCCCTGCCGTCTGTCACTGCCAGCTCTGCTGCTGGGCCCCTTCCTGGCCTCTTGCTGTCTGTCTTCAGTGTTACAGCACTTGACCAGAGTTATAGCTCTTTTAGAGTTCTTGCCTCCTCTCGGTCTTCTTTCTGCTTTCTTCCTGCTGCTTGTCTTCTGTCTGTCTCACCAACCTCTGTGGAGCTGGCTGCATGTATTATATACATTGGTATGTATGTATATGTATA